GTGGATTTTCCGGTGCCGCTCCAGGTGGGAGCTGACGCTGAATTTTTTCCCGCATTCCCCGCAGGGGTACGGCCGTTCCCCGGTGTGGATTCTCCGATGTCTTTCCAGATCGGATTTTTGGATAAATCCTTTYCCGCAATCYTCRCAGCGGTGYGGTCKCTCCCCGGTGTGAATCCTCCGGTGCTGCGCCAAATTGGAGCCTCGGCTGAAGCTTTTCCCGCAATCCCCGCACCGATGCGGCCGCTCGGCCCCGCCCCGGTGGCTCCGGCCGTGCTCGGACAGCGCCGATCGCCGCCCGAAGCTTTTCCCGCAGTGGCCGCAGCGGTGGCGCCGCCGTCCCCGCTCCGGTTCCTCGGTTTCCCCGCGGCTCCGTCCCGGCGGTCCCGGTCCCTCCGCGTGGATTTTCCGGTGCCGCTCCAGGTGGGAGCTGACGCTGAATTTTTTCCCGCATTCCCCGCACGGGTACGGCCGCTCCCCGGTGTGAACCCTCCGGTGCCGCTCCAAATCCGATTTTTGGATAAATCCCTTCCCGCAATCCTCGCAGCGATGCGGCCGCTCCCCGGTGTGGATCCTCCGGTGCTGCGCCAAATTCGACCCTCGGCTGAAGCTTTTCCCGCAATCCCCACATTGATGCGGTTTTTCTGTATTTTTTCCCATTTTTTCCTCATTTTTCCCCATTTTTTCCACGTTTTTCCCAGTTTTTTCCGCATTTTTTCCTGTTTTTTCCACATTTTTCCCCGTTTTTTCTGCGTTTTTCCCCATTTTTTCCGCTGTTTTTTCCATGTTTTTTTCCTGGTTGTTTTCTGGGTTTTTTCCGGGTTTTTCCGGTGTCCGGCGGCGCCGGCCGCACTCGGAGCAGCCGATCCCGGGCGTTTTCCGGGTTTTCGCAGGCGCCGGGGGCGGGGCTGGGGAGTCCGGAGGGGGCGGGGCCGAGTCCTCGGGGGCGGGACCTGGGCGGGGCCAGAGGAGGTCAGTCCCAAAATCCCAAATTTCCCTCAAAATCCCCAAAATCCCAACATTTTCCCAAAAAAATCCCAAAAATCCCAACATTTTCCCACCAAAATCCCCAAAATCCCAACATTTTCCCATGAAAATAAAACAAATCCCATGATTTTTCCATAAAAATCCCCAAAATCCCCCGATTTTTCCATGGGAATCTCAAAAATCCCAAGATTTTCCATGGAAATTCCGATTTCCACCCAGATTTTCCATGGAAATCCCAAAATCTTTGATTTTTCCATGAAAATCCCAAATTTCTGCCCAAATTTTCCATGGAAATACAGATTTCCACCCAAAATTCACCTCCTTGACTGATTTTCACGGGATTTTCTTGGGAAAACCCCAAAATCCCCCACTTAAACCAATTTTCACAGGGTTTTTCTCAAAAAAAACCCAAAATTCACCCTCCCGCTCAATTTTCACCTTTTTCTTTTTTAAAAAACCCCAAAATCCACCACTTAGACCGATTTTCTTGGCTTTTGTTCTTCAAAAAACCCCCAAAATTCACCCCCCCACTCAATTTTCACCTTTTTTTTTTCACAAAAACCCCAAATTTCAACCCCCCCGCTCAAATTTCACC